CCCTTTACTTGACCAACTTGGCCTTTAGGATGTAGTGATATGATCGGCTTTGGTGCAATCTGAAGTTGGTAGATACCCGATACTACACTCATTGAGGGTTACTTTCTTGGGATATTTCGGTCGCCATTAAAGAGGCTTGAGCTGAAACAATGACCAAGGAAACAATCCGATGATATTGAGCTCCTTAGAACCCGGTTACTATTACTAGGACAGGTTTAAGCCAACTAAACTTCAAGAGGGTACTTACCTATAAAACCCCATGCAAGCCTAAACTAAGAACTTGTTTGTTTTGCTTGTATATACATACTTGTGCATAACATCATGGACATCATGAACATCATATGCATTCACTAACCATTTCAAAGATTTTGGAGATTCATCTTTGTTCTTCTTTTGTAGGATATGGATTCACTTAGCAGGAAAACTATCCAAGTCAACCTTGTAAGAATTCCTCCATAACTCAAGGAGCTAGCTTAAAGGATCCCTGAGAATTCTCCATTCACCGAGAGGCATGGTCGTCTACTCAACTTGGTCACCTCCAACACAGAGGAGGATATGATGAAGGTGCTTTTCCAGTTCTTTGATCCTTTGCACCATTGCTTCAAATTTCCCGACTATCAGCTTGTGCCTACTTTGGAAGAATTCTCTCAACTCTTGAGGATTTCTATTCTCAATCAACTACCTTTCAATGGTACGGAAAGAGACCCAAAGCCAAAAGAGATTGCTCAAACTCTGCACTTGCATTCATCTGATGTCACAACTCATTGGGAAACTTGAAGTGGTGTCAAAGGCTTCTTAGCAAAGTACCTGTTTGAGAAAGCCCAAAGCTGTTGGAATTCCTTGGACTTGCAAGCTTTTGAGGAAATTGTGGCTCTTCTTATCTATAGGATGGTCTTGTTCCCCAATCCTGACCAACTCATAGATGTGAATGCCGTCAAAATCTTCATGTCACTCAATCTGGTGCCTACATTGCTAGGGGATATCCTACACTCTTTTCACACTCGTAAAATGAGGAAAAGAGGTGTCCTTATGTGTTTCACTCCTCTCCTGGAAAGATGGTTTATTTCTCATCTTCCCCAATCAGTCTTAAAGAATGAGCAAAGATTAAGGTGGTCACAAAGGTTAATGACGCTCAAACATTCAGATATTCATTGGTGCTCGATCCAAAGAGAATGTTATCATTGTTGACCATTGTGGGGAATTACCTAATGTACCTCTACTTGGCATTAGGGGGGGCATCACCTACAACCCATGTTTAGCTCTAAGACAGTTTGGTTATGCCCGAAGGGATGGCCCGTACGAGATGCTGATTCAAGGCTTGGTATTCAACTACGACAACGACGATCAAGGTCTTCGCCAGAGATTCATCCGAGCTTGGAGGATGCTAAACAAGGTGGATATCAAGACTTTGGGACACAAGAATTCCATCCCTCTTGAGCCTTACCTCAAGTGGGTACGAACTCACGTTCAAATTCTTATGATGCCTTATCCTTCCATTCTCCCGGTGATCATTAAGCCTGTTAAGAAAGGAAAAGTTCCATACACTATCCTACATCCTGACATGCCCATATATCTTGAAGACCTACAAAGAGATTGGATACATCTCAAAGGCAAGTGAGATACTTTCGAAGCCCAATTCTACGCAAGCGAGAAGAAGATTTTGGAACTCACTAGGCTACTTCATGAGGAGTAGACTCTAAATGCCTACATTTCACCAAAGAGGATGCGCACTACTTTTTTATCTTAGAGTTTTGTATTATTTAGCCCAAGGGGCATTGATGTACTCAAACTCTATCTTATTAATATAACGTGTGTTTCTTTTTGTCTAAAACAAACTTGAATCTTTTTAAAATCCTTGAAAACATTACATATGCACATATCATTCATCATAACATAAACAGGTCTTTTGCAACGAGTTTCCTCATCTCTCTACTGTTTATTTCAGTAAGATGGATCTCGAACAGACAGTCAAAGATATTCAAGTTCAAAACATGCAGTTTCAACAATTACTCACAACCCTGGCCAAAGGACAAGAGGAGTTGAAGACTCTGTTGGCCAAAGAGAAGAAGAAGAAAGAGAAGAAACCAACTGGTGTTGTAATCATGGGGAGAAGGTTTCAAGGACAAACTAGAAGAATCTTGAATTTCACAACAACATCCGATGAAGGAGAAGGAAAATGAAAGGAAACAACGGTTCCATCAGAATCTGAAGAGGAGGAAGAAGAGGAAGACTACTCCGAGGAACAGTATCCTCCAGCGGATGATAAGTACATACATCTTGAAGAGCGTTTGAACGCTATGGAAATACAAAGGGTACCAGGTCTAGACTTTGAAGAATTGGGACTAGTGTTGGGAATTGTGATTCCACCGAAGTTCAAAGTGCCGTTGTTTGCAAAATATGATGGGGTGTCATGTCCTAAGATGCACCTCCGATCATATGTAAGAAAGATCCAGCCGCACTCCGCCGATAAAGACCTATGGGTGCATTTTTCCAAGATAGCCTATCTGGAACACAACTCGATTGGTTTTACCAATTGGAAAGGGCCGACGTCCACAACTGGGAAGATCTCATTGCAGCTTTCTATAAGCAATACCAATATAATGTAGATTTGGCGCCTACCCGTACTCAACTTCAGAGTATGGCCATGGCTTCCAATTAGGGTTTCTAGGATTACGCGTAGAAATGGAGAGATCTAGCTGGGAGAGTACAACCCCCTCTGTCTGAAAGGGAGTTGGTGGATATGTTCTTAGGCACTCTGTTAGGCCCTTTCTTCAACCATCTGATTGGAAGCTCATCCGCAGGATTTACTGAGTTAATACTAACTAGAGAGAGGGTGGAAGCTGGCATAAAAAGTGGAAAGATTCAGAAGGATTCGTCTACCTCTACAGCTGTGAGAAAGCCTTTCACTGGGAAGAAGGAGGTATCTGCTGTTTATCCAAAAAGGAACCAAGGGAGAGCTGAACGCCGACCAATGGTAGGAGCTGTTATGATCCCAAAGCCCATATCTGATCAACCAAGAAGTAATCAACCGAGGGTGGAAAGGCCAATCCGATAATTCACCAGAATTAATATGACTCTAGCCCAGGTTTTACCGCATCTTTTGAAATCCAATTTGGTAACTTTAAAAGAAGCTCCAAAGAACTCCAACATGTCGTCCCCTCATTACCACCCAAATGCCAGATGCACATATCATTCCGAAAGTCTGGGTCATGACACTAACAACTGTTGGGCCCTGAAAAACAAAATTCAAGACCTTATAGATGCAAAAGAGATTGAGTTTGATGAACCCAAGAAGCCAAACGTCATTTCTTATCCTATGCCTAGGCATGGTCACAACACCAATGCAATTAAAGAAGATTTGTTTGTTACCACAGTTGATGAACTCTTGACTCCACTCCCAATCATTAAGATAAACTTGTTGAAAGCCGGTGTATTCCCGGGTTATAATGAAGACTGCCATCTTTTCTTATCCTCACTAATTGATTACCTTTTGTTGAAAACAGGCATTCAACGCTTGATAGACAACCAAGAGATTCTGTTTGAAAGTACTCCTATTTTACCTGTTCCTGTTGAAGACGTTTCAATCATCACCATCTCCGCCAATTCTTCCAGGGTCCCCAAAAGACCCGTTAGAATTACATCGGTTCCAAAAACTACTCCTCTTATAATCACAATGCCCGGGCCGGTCCCGTATGAATCATACAAAATAGTGTCGTAGAATTACGGTGGAGACATCTACTACCATGGTATCAAACATGATGGGCTGGCCTCCGAAGAGATGAGCTCCGAAGAAGAAGACTCCGACATTAGCAATATTGCCGGAACCAGTAAGATTACCCATAGCGGTAGAATCTTCTCTCCAGAAATTGCCCCTCCAAAGGCAGCTTTTGGACCCGTGGCTGTTCCAAAGGTTACCTCCGTACCAATAATCATATCTGCAAGTGCTCCTATTGACAAATCTGACACAACCCCTGTTATTATCCTTACCAACACTCCTACTGCTGAAACTCGAGGAAAAAGTATTCGAGAAGAGCCTGTCCGGGCGAAGGCTCAACCACTGAGTATTAGAACATTGAGTTCATCGTGAAGAAGAAGAGAGGAAAGAGTTTGAAGCAATCAATTATATTATTGAGCTTAACTTGGAATTGTACACGCATCAACCTTATATAGCTTGTCAAATAAGCTATAAACAAAGCTTTAACTAACTACAACAAACTAAAACTAACTCTAACCAACTAGTTTTCCAAAATGTAAAGTTTTTAACTAACTTTTGAAACTCATTTGTTTAAAGAGGAAAGTTGGTTACAAACTGAAAACCTTAAACATGTCATCATTTCAATGCTTCATTCTTTCAACACCCACCTTTTAAAAATAATATTTGTAAGTTTTTTTTCTTATTTTTTCAATTACTTTTGTAAAAAAGTATTTTTATTTATTTTCTCAATTTTTAATACAAAATGACTTTAAAACATTACAAATTAAAAAAAAAGGATTCATGAAGGCTAGGATATGAGCCCAAAAAAGATAAAATGGACTGTCAAAGAATATCTCTCTTTCAATATAATATTGTAAGTATAGATGATACCGGTTATTCATTTCCATCTTGTAAATTTGAGTTTTAATACAACATAAGAATCTTACTCCCTTCACACACTAAGAGACTAAGAGGTTGTAATTTAAATTATTATCGAATCAAATTACTCATTTAACACAATTTAAACCACTAATTCACATAAACAGTTGATAGCTTAACCAATAAATAGGAGAAATTGTATATACTTAAATATGAAGAAATAAATGAAGTTTGACTCATGAATGAATCATGTTTTCTTTATATATCAATATCAATAACCAACAAATTGTGAAAATTGAACAATTAACAAAACATTAGAAAAAAAAACCCACAAATTAACAAATAATAAGTAAATCGAATAAATCATCATCATAGAACTTTGCAGCCATGTTCATGTCGCTCTCTTTGGCAAACAAACGGATATGTCTTAATAACCAGGGACCGATTTAGCTTGTGAGGTGCAGAAGAAAGGTGCCACAGAGTACAACTTGAAATTGTTGTCAAGAAGACGATAAGATGAAAGAGAAGCACCACTGATTCCATGATTCACATCTGTGGGAACTTTACATGTCTCTAATGGAGAACTCTCTAGATATGCTTTGCATTCATTAATCTTCAATTTTGATCCTAGCCCCGGAAGTGACAATGTAGTAAAGTAATAACCTTTACCATCTGTTACATGACTGAACACTGTTATAGGACCTGTCTCGTATCCAAGCTCATTCACACATTCACATTTAACTCGTGCAACAGCCCCTGCATGATTGATTCCATTTCTTACATGGAGACCAAAACAAATATTGTAAATATAGTTAAATAGTTTTGTAAGTGAAGAAATTACCTTGAATTGGGTAATAATTGGAACCAGATTTGCATAAAATTGTTCCTTGGACACCAATGACTGTGGGCAGTTGCACTTGGTAGCTTTCTTTTGGTTCGGGAACTTCATAATATGGTTTTGTCGGGAGTGGTATATAATCAATATCTAGTTTGGGTTTGGAAACTTCGTAGTCTGGTTTTGTGGGTTTTGGTGCGTAAACTTCTTCGAATTTGGATTTCTCAGTCTTGGGAGTCAAGGCATACCCATAATCCGTTTTGGATTTGGAAACTTCATAATTTGGTTTTGCGGGATTTGGTGTATAAACTACTTCAGACTTTGATTTCTCAATCTTTGGAGTCGGACTATATCCATAATTTCTTTCAGGTTTGGGAGCTTCATAATCCGGTTTTGTGGAGTGTTTGTAATATGATTCAGGTTCAGATTTCTCTATATTTGGAACCAAACCATACCTATAATTTATTTTGGGCTTGGGAACTCTATAGTTTGGTTTTGTGAAATGTGGTTCGTAATCTGTATCAAATTTGGGTTTCTCGATTTCTGAAGTTAAACTATACTCATAATCTGTTTTGGATTTATAAGCTTCGTAATTTGGTTTGGTAGAGTATGGTTTATTATCTACTTCAGCTTCGAGTTTAGACTTCTCATTGTTTTGTGTTGAACCATACTCATAATCTGTTGCGGAGACAATAGCCAGCAACGCAAAAAGAAAGATAGATGTGGTGAAAATCAATTTATGATAAGTCATCATAAATTAATATCTTGGTAATGTTTTAGTCAAGGGCTAGTGAACAAATGCTTCGAAGTAGTGATGATGTATTATAAAACCTAATACCATAGCTATTTATAGAGCATAGTGTTTGTCTAACTTTAATACCTAATGAATTATGAAGTATTTGAATAATTGGATGATCAAGATTATTGGTTGCACGTTGTGGCTTATAACTCACAATTTCTTTTGGTATTTAGAACGTGTTTGCATTGTATTTCATTTGCATGGTATTTCCTTCCAAGAGATGCTTAAGCACCACAATATACGACGGGGTCCCATACCTAATGAGTGGAGAACATGTCTAGCTCTATAATTTAATACACTTATAGCAATTTCAATGGTTGATCACATAAGTTAAACAATTTGGATTTCACATCAACGCCCATGTACTTCCCACAGTTATAATAAATAATTAATAAGAAGTAGGATATTACATGGATGCACGATGAAAACATGAATTGCATGTCCGAAACCATTATTTGAAGACATTACTACTACATATGGGCAGCTTCCTTAACATTTAATTTCTATTATACTCAATAAAGTTATGGATAATTTATCAAACAGTCTATCAAATTCAATCATATAAAAATTTGTAATTTTAACAAAAAAATTAGCTTGTAAACACCACATATAAATTTATTTTTATGCGATTAGTTCCAAAAATACTCTTTAAAAATTCAAAATAAAAAATATTTTATAAGTTGACTATTCCAATTTCTAATGCATTAAATACATACATTTCTAAAAAAGAAATTACTTTTTAAAATTTTAGAGTGTCACTTAGACACTCGTTAGTATTTTCCTTAAATAAATTACACACAATTATTGAATGTTAGATAAGGTCTCTTTTAAATTAATCATTTTGTATTGTTTTTTGTTTTGCACTCAATATTGTGTCATCTTAAGATAATCCAATTTTATATTCTTTTAAAGAATTTTGAGTTAACTTGTTTGTATAATTGACTATAGATAAAGTAAAAGTTTAATATGATGTTACTCGAGTTAAGATGAACACGAATTTATCGAGAAAAATTAACACGATCTTATCCAAATTTACTTAATTTTATCAAATTAAAAAGAAATTAACTTTTGTTTTTAATGTTGTAGTTTTAAGTTTTAACATCTTTGAAAACTTGAACTTCATCTTAGGAAGGTCTACTCTCAACTTGTTGGAAGAGATCATGTCAATCATCCATTTAAGTCTAAAATATCTACTACTTAATGAGTACGTGGATATGGCCGGAGGAAATAAACTTATCCCCCAAGAATGTTACCTAAGTAGTTTGGAAGTAATAAGGGAACCCCTTACCTTGGTTGCCATCCTTCATCTAAAATGGATGGCATCGATACTGTAAGCCTGGACCCAAGGTTGGAGGGCAAAAAGTGAAAAGCTTACCTAAACCAAAGATTTGAAAGAAGTCTAGATTGTGCCTCTACATCACCAAATCACTAAGTTTGACACCTTATTGTCCGAATATGAAGAAGAAGATTTGATCGCCCTACTCAGGAAAAACATCGACTTGTTCGCTTGTGTACCCTCAGATATGTCTATTATTGATACCAGAGTGGTGTGGTATCACCTCACCGTAGACCCCTCAATTAAGCCAGTATCATAGAGAAAGCACAAAGTTGGCGAGGAAAAGAGAAAAACAATTGACGAGGAAGTTCAAAAGCTGACAAGTGCCAGTTTTATCAAATGTCAAATACCCTTTGTGGATGGCTCATGTGGTTTTGGTCAAAAAGGCGTCGAACAAGTGGTACATACGTGTTGATTTCACCGAACTCAACACCACATGTCCCAAAGATCTGCATCGCCTCCCTAACATAGATCGCCTGATTTATGGATCTTCGGGTTACAAAATGTTGAGTTTTATGGACTCCTATTCAAGGTACATCTAGATAAAGATGGATCCCATATATGAATCCAATACTAAGTTCATGTCCAACCATGGTAATTACTATTACAACATCATGTCTTCTAGGCTTAAGAACGTTGATGCCGCCTATCAGAGGCTTATGGATGCAGTGTTCTCAAAGAAAATAAGACATGGTCTGGAGGTTTACATTATTGACATGATCATGAAAACATCATAAGAGGAGTCACGCAATAAACTTAGAAGATATCTTGGGGTTAGTCAGGAATTATAATATGCGCTTGAATCTGGCCAAATGCTCATTTAGCGTACAAGCATGAAAATTATTGGGTTTCATGCTTACAAAAGAGGTATAGAGGCGAATCTAGATAAATTCCAAACCATCATAGATATGAGGAGTCATTCCAATGTCAATGAGGTTCAGAAACTAACTAAACATTTACCGCCCTTTCTCATTTTCTTTCATGTGCAGGTCACAAGGCTTTCCACCTCTTCGCCACATTAAAGAAACATGACAGGTTCGAATGGACAGACTAATGCAAGCAGGATTTCTCAAAGTTGAAGGTGTTCTTAGCATCACCGCCCATCCTGACACGCTGAATAGTAGGTTCACTATTATATCTCCACTAGTCAGTTACTAACCAAGTGTTAAGCTCAATACTCATCCAAGAAATAGATAAGGTGGAACCACTTGTCTATTTCGTGAGCAAAGTGTTAAGAGATTCACAGACGAATATTCAATGAACAGAAATCCTCTCAATGGACAAAATCACCTCGGATGGAGAGACATTCCAGTGATAGGCCTTTCATAATCAAGGGGCATAGCATGGTGTCCAGCTGATCTGGGGCAGTCAAGTCAAGGTTCAAGGAATCTCTCAAAAATGCCAAATATCCAGGAGTAGATCTCCATCTGAATCACTTGGGGAATTGGACATGAATTCCAGTAGTGAATCATATGCAATCAAACAAACACCTTCTGGCAGTGTGAAAACACTTACTACTATGGACAATGACAATTCTCCGTACTCGATGAACATGGACATAGTCGGAAAATACTATGCATGAACAAAGACCCGCTAGGTTGACCGACCTAGGTAAAAATAAGGGCATCCCGACGAACCAAAAGGGTTCAGGCAAAAATTAGGGATATACATATAAAAAAAATTATACACCCGACAAGTCAAAAACCTGAAAAGGCGGCTTGGGAAAAAAAGGGTATCCCGATGGACTGAAAATATGAAAGGACAATCCAGGCAAAAGTTAGGGATTAAAGAGTACGACTACATCCCGTCATCTTGTCACTTGTCTATCAGTAGAAGGTTTATTATCCTGATCTGCATTCACCAAGAACTCCAAGAGTTGGGATAACAGTAAAACCATATACAAAATCCCAGCAGATACCTTCTCCAGCAGGTATAGAGGCAGGGGCATCTTGCTACAAGGTCACCGCCATATTCTTAGCATGCAACCTAATGGTGTCAGGTGTTCACATATCCCGGACGGAGCAAGAATCTCCAAATTACTGCTCCAACATCTAAAAATTTCCCCAGGAGGATCTCATAAAATCCCCAAGTGGATTATGGAGTTTCCCTTCCCCAACGGATTTCTTCTCAAAACAACAAAAACAGGAATCCCCAGCGGAAACATTCTAAATAAAGCGGACTCTCCTCTAGAAACGGTTCACGTACGATCCAGAGACGGATTGCATCCTGGAACATACTCCAAATTCTCATCTAGAAACGATACAGGTACGATCTAGAGACGAATGTCATCCTGATACTTATTCAGATCATATTCTAGAAACGGTTCAGGTACGATCCAAATACGAATGTCATCCTGACACTTACTCCAGACTGTCATCTAGAAACAGTTCAGGTATGATCCAAAGACGGATGTCATCTTGACACTTACTCCAGATTCTCATCTAGAAACAGTTCAGGTATGATCCAAAGACAGATGTCGTCCTGACACTTACTCTAGATTCTTATCTAGAAAAGATTCAGGTACGATCCAAATATGGATGTCATCCTGACACTTACTCCAGATTCTCATCTAGAAACAGTTCGGGTATGATCCAGAGACAGATATCATCCTGATACTTATTCCAGACTATCTTCTAGCAACAGTTTCGGTACGATCCAGAGACGGATATCATCCTGATACTTATTCAGATCATCTTCTAGAACGGTTTGGGTACGATCCAGAGACGGATGTCATCCTGATACTTATTCCAGACTATATTCTAGTGTAGCGGTAGAAATGTTCAATACTAAGCCATTGGATTGACTAGACTTTATACAAATCAAAATAAAAATCGCCACCACGCTTTATTGTTTCTAAAGGAATGGGAAAAGAGCGAATAACCCAAAAAGAGGGGGGAAAGATTCAAGGTAAGGGGGTTGGTTATGTAAAGGGAAGGTATTAGCATCCTAAACATCTATGGTAAAAAAACTGTTATATATAAAATGGATGGTGGAGGTGAGGAAAGAAATATACTTTTTATGATTTTGCACCCGCCGTAGTTGCGAACCTTTAGTGCCTACGTACCACCTTTCGTGAAATAGGGGATCAGAGTACACGTAGTTCCTCTTTTAAAAATTTGAAACACAAATGCGTTGGTTAATTTTATAAGATAAAACATCATCGTCACTGTCCGTATGGAAAACACATCGACTACCCACAATCGTGAGAAAGGAGAATTTGCATCATCTCAAAGTGGAGGATATGGCTTGGATTTCAAAATCAACAATGCCTCACTCAACAACCAAGTGGAAAATATCTCTCTTCACTACATATTGTAGAAGTATAGTTGTTTGCATCACTACAAGGATTGACAAGAGTTTAATCTTTTAAGAAAAGTTTCAAAGGTAAAAAGCCAAAGTGGCAAAATGGTTTGAAATGAGATTGGTTGACTTTTAGTCTTCTAAAAAATGTCAAGGTATTATTAACTTGATTGGAGATTTATGAAAATGTTTTGAAAATACATGGACATAAGTCCAAGTTTATTATGAAAATAGTTCAAGTTTCAAAACAAGAAGAGTTTTCAAAAGGAGGGAGATGATTTTGAAATTAAAGAAGATGGGAGGAGAAGAAAAGACTATC